AACGTGCTCACTTTGTAAATCCTGCAGTAAATTGAAAGACGTGATTAAATGTGAGAACAGTCGGTGTGTTTCTCTTTTCTTCCAGATATCTGGTGAATATAAGACATGCAGAAAAGCTACATCACTGAATTTAAATATTTATTTATATTTAAAAAAAAAAATCAAGAGAGTTTTTTTAAAGGCAAACTTGTGTTTCAGATGTCAGAAACTGTTCCTGTAAATATTTCACTTTGAGTTCTTCTAATGCGTTAGTAAAGACAGATGAAAACGTTAAAGGTCAATTATTCAAGAGTTCAAAGGGTTAAGCCTGGAAACTCAAAGATCATTTAAATATATTGTATGTAAATATGGACATTCATGTTTTGTACAGATGAAATCTTCCCTCTCTGGTTAGTGTTTGTCATGATTAAAAAACGAGCCACACAGAGAACAAGAATCTGAAGTCTGAATGTTGATCAGAGTGCAGCTTCCTGTTCATGATGGGAGAACAGCAGCAGAGGTGTCAATACTCACACAGGTCACTAGAGGGCGCAAAGCGCTCATACCTCTCTGCCTCTTGGTGTCTACATACAAGGTGTTTAATGTCCTTAAATCACAGGTAGTACCCCAGTATGAAGGTCAGGACGGGTGTGAGTCTCTGTCAGTAACTTTCATGTTTAAAGTCGAGTATTCTTTTTTTAAAGATTTATTTGGGCTTTTTGTGCTTTAATGCAGAGAGAGGACAGTGGATAGAGTCGGAAACCAGGGAGAGAGAGCGGGGAATGACATGCGGAAAGGGGCCACGGGTGGAAGCGAACCCGGCCTACCGCTTGAGATGAGAGCGCGTCCTAACCATTGCGCCACCAGCGCTCCCCGAAGTCGAGTATTCTTGAAGCTATTTGTGAGAGATGTTAAAGGACAGTAAGAACTCTGAGGTCAAAGGTCAAAGGCTCAGTTCTGTGTGCTGAAGTAAAGTCTGCGTTTCATACTGAATATATCACCGTGGAGGAAGAACTCTGAGAGAGAACTTTAAGAGAGTCACTGGCTGTGTTTGAGTCAAGAAGATGAACATTTATCTGATTGATTGATTTTTATAAACACATCAGTTTCAGTTTGTTTCCTGTTTTAGTGAAGCTTCACTTTTATTCACTTTAAGAAAAATGTTTTTGTGTCATTATGGTTCTAATTATATATCAGGTTAAATGTAATTAGATAGTTACATCTTTAAGTTTTATTCTGTCTTTTTCTTACAAACCAAACTCGACACTTTCAGATTTCTCCATCAGTAAAGAAAATATCAATAATAATAATAAATTAGGATCAAGGCTCCTCAAACAGAAACGACTTTTTTATTCTCACAGTCACCTCGTCATCTTTCTGAAGCTGCACATGAAGACACACGACGAGCACAGAACAGTTTATAGACTACATGTTTGAACCTCATGCTGGTCTTCTTATGGTCCTGAAGTCTCGTTTAGGAGCTGATCATGAAACCTGCTCAAATGTTTTAAATGATATTCACAGAGCTTCAGAAGCAGACAGAAGAATAAAGAGAGAACAGATAAAGAGCAACATCAGAATAATAAGATTCAAAGTGAACCCAACATGACAGAATCAAATATAGCTGAAGAGAAACACACGAGCTGCATGTCATGAGACAATAAAGCAAAGTGAAGAATAATAAAGAGAAACTTCTGCAGACATGTTTCTGTCTCGATGAGGAGAAAAAGCAACTGAAAGCTTTCAGTCACAGGTTGGTTTCTGTTTTCCGACCTGCCATCTTCTTCCATTTTTACAGTCTCATTTATATCCTGACGCTCCGCCTCTTTATGTACAGTCTCTTGTCTCCATGTAACGAGGTACGTAGCAGTTTTTTTCTTCACATTTCTTTAAAATGAGTCACACGAGCAGGTTAAAACTCTGTTACAGTCTGTTGTTAGTATGTTAAAGTCTTCCGGTTGTAAGTGCGACATGTTTCATGTATGTTCGGTGTTTTACCGAGAAAAAGTTTGTCTGCTGAAACAGTCTGAACGTTGAGACCAGTGCACGAAAATGGCTGCTACACTCTCTGTGCTTCCTTCTCTGTGTCTGACTCATCAGCGGTCATGAATCAGTCGACGTTAAAATAGAAATATTCAGACAAAGCTGGAACAGACTCGACGCTAGTGACAAACACTGAACTGAATCAGCTGCAGGGGTTCAAATTAATTTCAGAGGATTGAGAATTTTTTTATTATTTTAGAGAAATGTTTGTCTTGAAACCACAGATTCATGCTCACTGACAGAAGAGTTTAGTATGTGATCATTGTGGTGACTCTCAGGATAAATGATGATTAAAATGTAACCATGACCTTTGTTGGCTTCATTAAAGATAAAAGAGAGAAGTGTTTCGGTTTAAAATCAGTGAAGAGGATTCTGCTGGACTAAAAGACATTAAAGTCCAATACAAGATAAAGATATAAGAGGAACTACAACACATGCAAGACATCCTCATGCTGATTCATGGAAATAAGTCACATGAATCCTCCCACTGTTTAAACTGAGAGTGTTTGGACAGAAAACAGGAGGTTCAGCTCTGAAGGAGTCTGAATCTTCTGCAGGGTAAGAGCTCAACTCTGATTTAATACTGTAGGAGCCTTATTGCTTTTCATGTTCTAATTGTGGTTCACTTGTAATATTTTGGTTTGTATATGTGGACAGTCTTCATGTTTAAATGATTTAAATATAAGAGGTTTCTTCATTATTTAAAGTAATTTAATAAGTGTTTCAATATTTACATTAAAATGTATAATTTGGATGTAGGAGATTAATTGAAACAGCTTTAAGTTCATTGGATCTGAAAAGGGGAGGAGCTTGTGGAGTTAATTGTGTTAATTGAAACTAGCAGAGTGAAGTCACTCAGTAGGGTTACATGGTGCTAGATATTTGTTTGTTTAGACTTTTTAAATGCATGTAAACTCTTAGTCCGACCTACATCGGACCATAACGAACATCTCATCATCGAAAGAACACTCGATAAGTCCTTTGCGTTTGCGCATGCTCGAGAATTTCACCCGAAGTGGAAGGAGACAACGTAATAAATAGAAGTGTTGTTTCCTTCTGTTGTTATCGCCGCAGCCAAAAGATCCGCTGTTCTTGTAATATGAATTATTAGAATGTAAATAATGTATGTAGCTGTAGTGTCGTCCATCTCCTCGTACGCCATCTTTGTTTGAATGCCGCCAGAGAGTTTGGGTGCGTTAGAATTGTCCCTCCTATCTCCTTTCACTATCCACTTTACCTTAACCCCGCGAAAACGTCATGAGATCAAGGAGAGATGTTAGGAGAATTCATAAAGGACTTAAGGAAAGGCGATCTCGTTGCTCTTTATAATCCGACCGCATTTCCACTAGGCGACGTCATTAAATGCGACAGGCCGGCGGAGGTTAATGACGTGAGTCTGCCGTGTTGAAACTACAAGTTCAGAAATAAACTACAAAAAACGCATCTAAACAACTTTTTCTGTGCCTTCTTACCGGTGAAATAATCCTAATCACCACAAGGTTGGGATTGAAATAAAAGAAATATAGACTACCAGGCTACAAGTAATAAAAGTGAAACCATCACCTTCCTGTCCACTCAGAAATCAACGTCAACATAAATATGAAATTAATTGTTACATTTATATAAGATATAACCTACACATAATGTTTTATACAAATGTACAACTGCACAGCATTCTTAAATGAATGAAATATGTTGAATAAAACATCATCTGATAAAAATGTCTCTTATCTTTTATCTCTGACATGATCTGTGTCTCTTCACGATAATCGTTCATTTCCGTGAACGGTCGGATGCGCGACTCGCTTTAAATGTTGCGGCCGCAAGGAATTGTGGGGCGTCATATCTCATCTCCTTTCGTAAAGGATAGTCCAGTGTATCCTAAGCTAAAGGAGGTTATAAAGGAAGCATTGACCCACCTTTCCTTAACTTTTAGAGGGTGCGTTCGAATTGTTCCTCCTATCTCCTTTCACTAGCCACTTTACCTTAACCCCGGAAGCATTTAAGTGGCGGCCATGATAAGAGCCGTTCGAATTCTCTAAAAGTTAAGGAAAGGTAGGTCAATGCTTCCTTCATAACCTCCTTTAGCATAGGATACACTGGACCACCTTTTACCAAAGTTCAGTTTATTGGTTTTAACTTCCGGTCTGCACCTTGTCCTGTGGCACTAACAAACTGTTTCATGTTTTTCCAGCATTATCTCTATGAACTGATTCTACATTAAACCTAGACTCTGTGCTCGGAGGTCTGGTCAGATATCTCAAAGAACAATCTGTTCTACATCAAACATTTCTACTGGAGTGAACAATCTGATTGATGCTGTGTTCAAAGACTATCAGTTTTTAGATTTCCTGAGCTCCTTGAATGCATCATTGATGATTTAACAAACCAACAATTTAAAAATGGTTTTCATTTCCTCTCGAGACCTGATCTGCCATCATCATTTTTATTGTACAAACTTCAGACCCGGTAATGCCAGAAATTCACAAGAACATCAGTTTTATGGTTCAGAAGTCTGAAGTGATCCTGAGAGGAGCCTCTGTGTGAGGAGAGACGACAGAGCTGCACATCTCAGTTACAAGAGAAGCTATAAAGGTGATCATGTTCACAGCAGTGTTTAATTTCTGCATTTCTCTTTCTGTTTTCAGGTGATGTCGTCATTAAATCCCTAAATCTGAGTGAGATGACGTCTTCAGCCCCAGGAACTTTGATCCTGAGTTTAAAATGAAGTTCAGAAGAATCCTCGGTTCACGGCTTCATGCTGGTAAATGATCTTCACTTGTTCCTCCTCTCTTCCAACTTCTGTCTTTGTGATCTTTCCCCTGAAGGACTGTATTATTCTGGTTCACTGAAAGCTACATCTCATCTTCTGATTGTTTTTCCCTCTGTGGTTAGTAAATCTGGTTTAGATTCCTCTGAGTGGGAAGGTGAAGTGTCAGAGGTGTAAAACCAAGTGTTTATTTCAGCAGCCTCCATCATCCCACATTCAGAGCAGTTTAAAGATAACCTCAAACTCCTGATCCGCTTCATCACCACAGGAATGTTTCTGATGTTTCTTTTTCTCTTCACAGATTTTTATGATGAATATATTCCTAAGTCAAACCCTCACCTGCCATTGGACAGAATATGTGTTTGGAAACGAGTGCTGTCCCATGTGTCCCAGCGGTAAGATCGTCAATCTGTCCCTCCAGGATTTCTCTGGATGTTTCTCTGGATGTTGCTTCCTGACGTGTCTGATTTATGGCAGCTTTTAAAATATAAAGTTAGAATGAAAGTTATGATGTTTTGAGGTTTTTGTTATCGTAACACATAACACGTCCACTGCGAGTGGATTGTAGTCAATGCTTTATCTTCAAACATTATCAGATATAAAATCCTACAATGTCTGTTTCCTGACTGTGTGACATTAAAGTTTTGTCTTTTCAACAGGGAATCGAGTAAAAACAGACTGTGAGGAGGACAAAAGTACGTCCTGTCAGCCGTGCACAGAGGGGACTTTCATGAATAAAATGAACGGACTAAAAAAATGTTTGTCCTGCAGAGAATGTGGAGCAAGTAAATTAATGTTTATGTTGTTTTTATTAACTTTTTAATTTAAAGGCAGAAGTTTTATTACTGAGTCCTTGATGAGGAAACTGCAGCTGGAGTGTTGTTCTCTGTATTTCCTGTTTTTTCAGTTTGTTTTTAGAGCAAACCTTAAATCTGAATCTCTCATTGGTTCAGATGTTTTCCTTTGAGTTTACAGCTTGAAGGTGTTTTAAATAGTCAGATTCATCATGTTGCTGTTTAGTCTTAAAGCAGTCGAGTATGTCTGTATTTATCTTTGTGTTGACAGGTTCTGGTCTGAAGATGAAGACGTCGTGTACGATACGATCAGACACAGTTTGTGAACCTCTGGAAGGATTTTACTGCTCAGAGTTTACAGGGTACGACTGTGTTGAAGCAAAGAAACACAGACGCTGTGAACCAGGAGAATACATAAGTCAGAAAGGTGGGTTCATACGTGTAACTCCACATACACACACACACACACACACACACACACACACACACACACACACACACACACACACACACACACACACACAAAATATTCCTCCTGAGAATTGAAGCAATGAGCTGTTTGTGTTATTCCAACATCAAACTGTTCCTGTAGCTACAGATGAACTGGTGACTGAAGGGAAGTTCAAGTTATTCTCAGAAGAGAAGCTGAGAGGACTTGAGTCAGAGTGAAAGTGAAACAAACGCATGATCACATTCCTTAAGGATGTGAAAACACTGAGATTACTGACCCAAAGATCACTTCCCTGAGTGCTTCATGGGCCTGAAGAAGGTCTTGGTGCTGCAGCATGAAGACCGACTGGCTACTCTCACCAGAGCAGCTGCAGCTGGTTTTGTTGACACAGAAAATAGTAAAAGGGAGCAGCTGATCTGATCAAATCACACTGCATGGGTCTCATTTATAACCGTTGCATACGCACAATACGAGGTCTGAAACTGGCGTACGCCTTTTCCCACACAAAGTTTGTGATCTATAAAAACAAACCTGAAGTAAAATGTGCTCACCGGTATGCAAACTCTGACCCAGGCGTACGTTCATTTTGGAGGCATGGGAAATTGGCGACACAGACGGTGAAGTGGTGAATTGCAGCCAGCAGATACATATTGATATCTCTCCCACATTTTATTTCACTAAATATCAAACTTTACTGACAGATCCACGTCATCATAATCATTCAAACCGATGGTTTTATTTAGGCTATAATCGCGCATGTGGTGAGCCGTTTCCAATAAGTAACTTTCATTATGAAAATATATAAAAATAAAAAATAAAAGTCCGCCACATACATATTGCATCAGCGCCGTCTCGCCTTCATTATCCCGGACGGACCTCAGAGGACCGGACTTGTACACTAATGTAATCACTGATGTAGAGTTAAACATTAGACTAACACAAAGACCATAGAGCCACCAGTTTTCATTCATATCTTTCAATATCGTGCCTTTATCATCAAGTGTGGTTTTTAGTTTTAATAAAGATTCCTGCGTCAAGACGCACAGAGTGCACAGAGACACGGCGGTGGCTTCACACATTTCTCCTTCTCGTTACTCAGCATGTCTTCATCAGCAGCACGTATTTATTCTGTAAATAATTCAAGTGTGGACATTAAGTCGGGGCATCTCTGAAACGATCATTAAGCCATATATTTTATCATAATTAGTCACAGAGCAGACAGTTTCAGAAAAAATGTGGCCAACAATTAAACGTTTTTGTTCGTTGATCAAACCTTTGATTAATAATATCATACAGTGAGGGAGACTGCTGACTGATGTGTCCTCTCTGCCACTATATGAAGAAATCAGTGTGGGTCCCGTAAACATGTAAACATTGCAGATATTCTCGTGCGTAATGATGAACGGTGGATGTTTTGGCACATAGGACAAGGTGAATGCAGCAGCGACGTGGTGTCATTCTCTGATTTTTCTTCAGTTCATGATCCTCCTGCTGCAGCAAACTACCGACATTTTAACCTTCACTTCATTCACAACCTCCTCCGTTTCTGGGTCAGAAAGTTTCGTTTCTTTGTCTAACCTTCCGGGATCCAGCGCTGGAAACCTCTGATCTGCCCCCTCGTTTGTATGCATTTTCATTCACGAGCTGCTTTGCATTGACCGTTTATGGTTGATTGTGGGCGTGTAGAGGGCGGAACATGGGACTAATCTACGTGCGTACATTTCCAGGTGGATCGTGATTTATAAAGGGAACATTGCGTGCAGGTGTGCGTACGAACGGTTTTATAAATCTGAATCATTTTGTGCGCACGCCATTTCCGGGTTTTTGGCGCAGGTACATTTTTAGGATGGATTCTATGCTCTCTTTTATAAATGAGACCCCTGGGCCCTTTCTGAATTGTCACAGTTCAGTATGCAGTACGTGCTATTCAGTATGGAGTTTCAGTAGACTGAACTTTCATTCAGTCATTCAGTATGCATTTTTTGGGTCCACCTCAGTATAGTGAAATCATTATTTAAATAGAGGGGGAAAGGTTTTATAATAATGCAGACAGCATTATTATAAAACCTTTCTCCCTCTATTTAAATAATGATTTCACTATTTAAATGTGTCTTTATTGGTTTATTTTACTTTATATTCTGTATATTAGTCTTTCATTTGTACTTTCCTTTATGTACTGAATCAGATGAAGTAGGGACAAATATCTGCCTACTGTGTGTGCCTACTATTCAGCAGGCACACACAGTAGGCAGATATTTGTGCCTACTTCTGATTCATTCAGTAAGGAAGTGACATCATTTACGTTTCCCGAACCGGCCGCATTCACCCATAGTTTTTTGTTTTTTTGTTTAGCTTTATTCAAGAAGAGTAATGCCCACATATAAAATAAACCAATAAAGATAATAGTGAAATCATTATTTAAATAGAGGGGGAAAGGTTTTATAATAATGCTGATATTTGTTATATTTTCTGTTGTTAATTAAAAGTAGTGATTTCAGTCGGGACTTTAACTCTAGATTAAAAATTGATTCAATTAATCCACGCTCGTTTGTTTTGATTTGGAGGCGGACTTGACGTGACGATTTACGTTTAATTTCGCACAGCATTGTGGGTGTTAAAACACAATTCATTTCCTGAAAGGATGCATCCGATCCATACTGCATAAAACCCGGAAGTTAGTATCCATACTGAAATGTTCAGTATACTGCGCGGACCCAAAAAATGCATACTGAATGACCACGAAAGTTCAGTATACTGAAACTCCATACTGAATAGTACGTACTGCATACTGAACTGTGACTATTCAGAAAGGGCCCTGGTCTTCACACAACATGCTTTCTCTCTCTGGATGAATTCATGCGCCATCTGGTGGCAGAACTTGTAACTTTAGCGTTTGATATTAATCTTATTTCCAGACACAAATATTAGTGAACTTATTTCCTTTGGTTTGTTCAGTCTCTGATTGGTTCATATTTTAGACTGCATGGATGATATGTCTGCAATATTTCATACATGAAATGAAAAGTTATCAAAGATTGATATTTAATCAAGTTTATAAAGATACTTTTTCTTGGTATCAGGTGAAATTGTTCTGTGAATAAGACTTTAATCTTTAATCTGGACTTTTTTCAGGTGTTTCTTTCTGAGATTCTACTTTAAAGATCTCATCATGTATTTAGTTTAATATTGAAAACTGTCACTGTGTGTATTTCCTGCAGGAACTTCCTCCACAGACACCGTGTGCTCCACCTGCTCTGATGGAACATTTTCAAACGGGACGTTTACATCTTGTCAGAAACACAAACAGTGAGTGAAGCTTCACATCACACATGGACTCTCCAGATGTTCCTGTAATAACTGTCCCTCTATCATTACAGATGTGAATCAGAGGGTCGAGAGCTGCTGAGAGCAGGAACTGAGACAGAGGACGCTCAGTGTGGAGATATACTATCAGACAAGACTGGACTGATAGTCGGTGTTGTTGTTGTTGTTGTTGTGATGTTTTTAGTCTTTGTACTCGGAGTGTGTTATTTCAAACGGAGGAAGATTAGACATCTAAGCCCAGGTAAGGTTTCCACTGTGACAATGAAACATGATCATGTTTATTTTATAGATATTATGGTCTGTTTCTTCATTTATTTGTAATGTTTTATTCCAGGAAACATACAAGAAACAGGACCCTCTTACCGGGTATGTTTTAAACTCTCTTTACTCTCAATCTGTTTTATGTTCAATGATTTAATAAAGTCTCTCTTATTAATGTTTCCCGTACAGGAAGATGTGAACCTTAGAGAACAAACCCTGAAGAGTCTGAAGTCAGATGACTCCAAAGAGTCGAAGGTGAGCCAGCAGAGCTTTGATTAAATGTTCTCTGACTGACTGAGATCAACTCTGTCCTGTTTTTACAGATTTACTAAATGTTTGATTTAAACTAAATCTCTTTTCTCCTCAGGGTGAGACGGTTCAGACTGAACTCCTGCAGAGTGAATCATCTCCAGGATCCTGTTCTGGTCCACCTGCTGGATCCTGACACACTGTTGATATGTGTTTATATTTATATATTTATATATGTGTTTATATGTATATATCATAGACTGTAAATATTACTGGACGAACCCTGACCCGTCTGTGACATAGGCAGAAAATGAGTCCAATCGACGGCCGCATCCATATTGGATTTGCAGTCTCAACCTAACTTCGGATCAACATAACGACAGCAGTAAGGTGGGACCGGTGGGACTTAACTCCGCCCATTCAGCTCGACGTTAGCAGTCCACTTCACAGCATAGCTAACAGCTAGGCTGCTATCATCCCCGATTCCTGCTCGTCCTGAGAAAACTCTACAAACAGTAAGTTAACATTTAACTTTTATACAACACAGTTAAACGAATTATATTCAACACAAATATTTAATTAAAGTCTTAAAACTACACTTTTTTAAATATACAACGATGGTTATTAGTTATTTGTCAGAGCAGTTAGACTTTGTCAGTGTTAGCAGAGAAATACATTAACAAAGTTTTATCCATAAACTGTAAATAAATGTGACATCCAGAAGAAATCAATATTACAAAGCATACAGTTCATGTTACTGTTCTGACAAAAAGAGGAATGTCTGTGTTTTATATTTACTGATGTCAACAGCGATGAGGTGAACATGACAATTGAAAAATAATTATTTAGTATTTATTATAAGACATTTGTTTTCTATTGAACCTTGTGAAGTCATGGAGTCTGTGGACAGTGTCAGCTTCACACCAAAAACTAAGTATTAGAAAAAATAGTGTTTAAGACTGGCATCTATTATGAGTTACAGCTACCTTGTTCAATATTATTCCTGCAGATGTGGCTCATAACAAAAAAACAGCCTGAGCTGTCACATGTAGTTAACTGTACATTTTGTCTTGTCTGAGGCATTAATTGAACATCTTTGTATTTCTCCTATACACACAGTGTGGATTATTGGTGACTGGTCCATCGAGGTGCCCAGAGAGCTGCAGAGACAGAGGAAGAAACCTGAGCCTCAACAACATCTGTATTTGTTGGTTCTTCTGGGGTGGACTTCGGTTGCTTCTCTTCAACAGCTCGCTGTGAGGGAGGTCTCCCCCGGATGGCCTGAGTGATGTCACCCACAGGCTGAGAGCTGGAGCTGAGACAGGTTTTAAGCCTCTTGACAAACCGTTACACCGCGCCCGCCTGTCAAGCTGGTCAGCTACACGCCTTATTGTGAATAACTCTTATCCTTCATCAAATCAAAACTGATGAGTCATCAAAACATTCACCCCCCCCCCCCCCCCCCCCACAGTGTGTTTCCATCGAGACATGAGCTGATCACACCTATTTGTTTGTTTTGTACCAAGCTGTAAGCTGTTCATCTCTGCTGTAAAAACAGACTTTTTTTAATGTTGTTTTCCAGATTAAATAAATATTTCTATAGAAATGCACTCCTTTATGTCTACGTCTAGTATGATTTGAAATGACAAGACTAAAATGTGCATTAATGCTCAACTCAATAGCTTAGGGAAGGAAGTCTACTTTTACACAACTTCTTATTCTTTCGACATTTTTTTTTACCAAATACTAATGTAGTTCATTTCTGAAAGTGGGATGGAACCATAGACTGTAAATATTACACTTGAAAGCGCCCCCTGCTGGTCGTCTGGGGCAACAACAGAGTACTGCCTTGTCTCTCTCTCTCTCTCTCTCTCTCCCTCTCTCTCTCTCTCACTCTCTCTCCCTCTCGTTCTCTCTCTCTCTCCTCTCACTCCCTCTCTCTCACTCTCTCTCTCCCTCTCTCTCTCTCTCCCTCTCGTTCTCTCTCTCTCTCTCCCTCTCGTTCTCTCTCTCCCTCTCACTCCCTCTCTCTCACTCTCTCACTCCCTCTCTCTCACTCTCTCTCTCCCTCTCTCTCACTCTCTCCCTCTCTCTCTCTCCGTCTCACTCTCTCTCTCTCGCTCTCTCTCTCTCTCTCTCTCTCTCTCTCTCTCTCTCTCTGCGCTGACATAAGTTACTGAAGGAGAAGTTTAATGTTGTTGAAGCGTCCATGTGGAAAAAAAGACAACTCTGTCTCTTTAAAAGAAAAAATAATAAAAAATGTCTTTTTGTTGTTTCAAACAGGAGGTCGAGTTTATAAACACTGCACAGAGTCCAGAAGTACTTTCTGTAAGCCATGCACTGAAGGAACCTTTATGGACCAGCCGACTTCCCGTACACAGTGCTACATCTGTAAAAGCTGTGATGAAGGTAGATCTCTGACATTATTATCAAACTAAATAAAGATCAGAACATGTTACTAAACAGTCATCACTGTAAAACCAGCTTTCTAACCTTCAGTTAGTTTGAGTTTGAGCCTCAAACACAGAGATGATCATCTGACTACTTGTTATTTCCTTACACCAAACTGTTCTTTAGTAGAGCAGAAGTACAGTAGTTCATAAATAACCTCTGTGTTTGTGTCGACAGGTTCTGCTCTGAAGATGAAGACGTCGTGTACGATAGTATCAGACACAGTTTGTGAACCTCTGGAAGGATTTTACTGCTCAGACTCGAGAAAGGACGACTGTGTGGAAGCAAGGAAACACAGACGCTGTGAACCAGGAGAATACATCAGAGAACACGGTTAGTTAAACACATTTCACTTTTATTGGAAGTCTGTTCTGTCATAATCAGGATTATTTACAGACCACTGACAAAGAAGTCATTTCTTCTGTCTTATGAGTCACCATCTGAAGATTTTCTGAACTCTCTGGATCGTAATATTCCAACAAAAACGGTCCTGCTGCATCAGAACGAGTCCCAACCATCCAAATCTAGAGAAAGATTGAATCCAAACACATCACATAAATAAAGATCTACAGATTGATTCAAATTGTCCACCGCTGTTCCAGATTTCCTGCTGTATTTTCTGTGATGATTCATTTTTGTGAATGATTTTTTTAAATTAGGATACTCAAAACTCTAACCTTTCGATTGGCACCCCATTTGGCAAATTAGGACCTTCCATTCAGTTCCCAGTCTATTACAGCCAATGAGATGAAAGGAGGTGCGTGTCCTGTATTCTGATGAATCTATAACCGGCCAATTGCACGCCACTATGCTGACGACTGACGTTTCTTGTAGCCAATGACATTCTGAACACGAGGCTTTTTAAATTTGAATTTGAATGTATTTATTTAATAGGGACGATGAAATTTAACATAGTTTGAATACAAAGCAGGAAACTGATGTGCTTCATAGAGAGGTTATAGCTATTGCTAATTTCCAACTCTTGTCTCTAGTTGGGCCTTTGGTTAGCTGAAATGTGTTTGACCAACTGATAAGATAATTACATGACATCATTTTGTATATATGGTGATAGAGGGACTGTGTTCATGTCTAAAACAACCTCTGTGTAATAGTCTCATGTGTTCTGTATTTCCTGCAGGAACTTCCTCCACAGACACCGTGTGCTCCACCTGCTCTGATGGAACATTTTCAAACGGGACGTTTACATCTTGTCAGAATCACAAACAGTGAGTGAAGCTTCACATCACACATGGACTCTCCAGATGTTCCTGTAATAACTGTCCCTCTATCATTACAGATGTGAATCAGAGGGTCGAGAGCTGCTGAGAGCAGGAACTGAGACAGAGGACGCTCAGTGTGGAGGACTACTGCCACACTGGACTGGACTGATAGTCGGTGTTGTTGTTGGGTGTGATGTTTTTAGTCTCTGGACTTGGAGTGTGTTATTTCAAACGGAGGAAGATTAGACATCTAATCTCAGGTAAGGTTTCCACTGTGACAATGAAACATGATCATGTTTATTTTATAGATATTATGGTCTGTTTCTTCATTTATTTGATTTTTATTTCTAATGTTTTATTCCAGGAAACATAAAAGAAACACTCTCTCACCAGGTATGTTTTAAACTATCTTTACTCTCAATCTGTTTTATGTTCAATGATTTAATAAAGTCTCTCTTATCAATGTTTCCCGTACAGGAAGATGTGTAGCTTAGAGAACAAACCCTAGAGAGTCTGAAGTCAGATGACTCCAAAGAGTAGAAGGTGAGCCAGCAGAGCTTTGATCAAATGTTCTCTGACTGACTGAGATCAACTCTGTTCTGTTTTTACAGATTTACTAAATGTTTGATTTAAACTAAATCTCTTTTCTCCTCAGGGTGAGACGGTTCAAATTGAACTCCTGCAGAGTGAATCATCTCCAGGATCCTGTTCTGGTCCAGCTGCTGGATCCTGACACACTGTTGATATCTGTTTATATGTATATATGTGTTTATATGTATATATGTGTATATGTGTTTATATTTATATCTGGTCCAGTTTTGTTTTTGAGACGATGATTGAACACAAACACTTTCATCAGCGCTCCATCGGCTCTCTCACCATCAAGTTTAAATCTTTTAGAAATTAAAGATTGTCCCTTTCATTTCTTGGGTCGGCTGTGGATCAGTGGTGGTCGGTCGTCTCCCAAGTGAAAGGTCGGGGGTTCGATCCCCCAGCTCCTGCAGCAACATGTTGATGTTTCTTTTGGACAAAACATTTAACCCCAAATAACTCCCTCTGCTGCATCATCAGGGTGTGAATGTGTATAGATGAGTGTGAGCTGAGATGAGTTCAGATGTTTTTATTATGATTTTTATTATTTTTTTTATTGTTCCTTGTACAGTTTTTCACTTTATACAACTAGTTATGTAAAAAAAAAGCTTTAATTGTATTGAATGTTAAAATAATTAAGGTTAAACTTTCTGTTAAACTCTTTATTTCTGATTGAACTAAATGTATGACACGAGATGTCAGAGCGCTGTGTGAGGTTACATGTCCCGTAGACTCTTTATGTTTTTGATTCTGTTTTCAGAAAATAAATCAAGTTAATGTTTTAAAATAATATATCAGTCTCATGAAGAGAGGCTTCAGTCTTTGTTGAAGTGGTCGCAGGTTTGAATCCTGATACTGATTTAAAATGACCAAAACAAAAATCCTCAAAGCGGCGAATAGAAATGTCTGCAGGTCAGCTAGAAATACCAAAGAAGTGAGAATTAAATATATTTAGATTAATAACTGCAGGGACTTCAAGTGTAAATGTTGACTCTTTATGTTCTTGTTACTATTGTAAAAAGGATGAATAAAAAGATTTGACTAAATCAAAGTGTCTGATTCTTGAACAATAACATCAAACTATTGAATATCTGTCCTCTGCTGACCTCTGGTGGTCAAAAACAGAACTGTTTGAGTTTCTGTTATTTTAACATCAACACTGCGCTAACAGTTCAAATATTTGTAAGTTAAAGGACAGAAAGAACTCTGAGGTCAAAGGTCAAAGACTCAGTTCTGTTGCTGAAGTAAAGCTCTGTGTTTCATACTGAATATATCACCTGGAGGAAGAACTCTGTCTCATCATCAATCTCGTCTTTCATCTTTTCTTCAAACCTTTCTCTCCTTTGTGTCCTACATAAAAACATAAAACACTTTAGAGATTATCAAAAAAATAAAGTAAGACTCAAATTCAATTGAGCAACACAGATTAATAAGAGTTATAGAGGGAGAAAATATAAAAAAATAAGTAGAGAGTATTGTTCACTGTGGAGCGCCCTCTACTGGACAACCTTCAAGATGACACCATATCTAAATGATCCTAATGGTGGTTTCTCCAGTAAATATTTTGTAAAATGTTTTGTTTTTATATCAGCGCATTTATAAAAAATCACCCATCCATCCATCTATCTACATTTTCTTCCTTATCGAGGTCGGGTCGCTGTGGCAACAGGAGAAGTACGTCAACCCAGACTTCCTCCCCGTCAACATTTTCCAGTTCTTCCTGGAGGATTCTGAGGCGTTCCCAGGACTGAAAGATATCCCTCCAGTGAACTCTGGGTCTACCCCAGGGGGTTCTCCTGGTCGGGCATGCCCGAAAATCCTCCAAAGGGAGGCGTCCAGGAGACCCAATCAGACGCCTGAAACAACTCAACTGTCTCCTTTAGATGTGAAGGAGTAGCGGCCACTTTTTCAGTCACTACCCATAATGCATCTTTTTACAGTCTATGGCGTGACCACAGAGGTTTGGAATGAAGATCGGTAAATGGAGAGCTCTCCCTTGAGTCTCAGTTCCCTCTTCACTACAACAGTTCGGTACAACGCCCCCATATACGCTGAGCCAATCCATCTGTCTATCTCACGGTCCATCTTACCCTCACTCTTGAACAACACTGACACACTTAAACTCCTTCACTTGGGGGCAAATAATCACTCCCCACCTGGAGGAAGCAATCCACTTTTTCCAACAGAGAACCACATCCTTAGACCCTGAGGTGCTGAACCTCATCCCAGACGCTTCAAACTGCCCCAATGCCTTCTGGAGGTCCCAGCATGAAAAAGCAAACACAACCACATCTTCTGCAAAAAGAAGAGAGGTTATGTTGAGAACCGTCCTCCCCCCCGGCTACACCTTGTGATCCAGTCCATGAAAATCACAGAAATAATTGATGACAAGGGGAGACCCTGGTAAAGGCCAACACACACAGGCAACATGTCTGACTTTGTATCCAGGATGCAGACACAGCTCCCACTTTGGTCATACCAAAGTTTGAAAAATACCAAACCGGGACCTCATATTCATGCAGTGTCCCCACACGACCCCCCGAGGGGCACGGTCATAAGTCTTCTTCAAGGCGATCTATACCCACGGTTCGAGTAGACTTTCCCCAGGAGGCTGAGAAGTGCGATTCCCCGATAAATAGAGCACAACCTCGGTCCCCCTTTCTATAAATGGTATCTGCCACCCCACAGGCATTGTGCCAGACCTCAACGTGACATTGAAGAGACATATCAGCCAAGACAGCCCAACAATGTCCAGAACCTTTAGCATCTCAGGGCGACTCTCATCCACACCTGGCGCCACTGAGGAGCTTTCTCAGTGACCTCTGCTAAGGTTAGTGGTAAAGTTCACCCCAGATCTTCAGACTCTGCCTCCCCTTCAGAGGATGTGTTGGTTGGGTTCAGGAGTTCCTCAAAGTATTCCTTCCACCACCCCACGATGTCCCAAGTCCGGGTCAGCAGTTCTCCATCCCCGCTGATAACAGCCCGGGGAAAGCCCTGCTTTCCCTTCCTGAGCCGGAGAACGGTTTGCCAGAACTTCCTTGAGGTGATCCGAAAGTCCTTCTCTGTACCCTCCCCGAAATCCTCCCACACCTGAGGAAGACCCTGGAGAAACAAGAAGAAACAAATTGAAACTCTCAGACAGTTCTGTCTTTGACCACTAGAGGTCAGCAGCAGTACACAGCCATAAAACTGACATTTAAGAATCTGACACTTGAATTTAAAAGTTCATGAAAAGCATGTGATTAAGGTTAAAGGACTAAAATACAGTTCAGTTCAGATTAAATAACACATTTCTGGCTACTTATTACCATAGTACAATACTAACTTTTTGAAAAGGCTTCCACCTGAATTGTTTGTTTTGATGTACACTGAGCAACAAGTCATGATGGACAAAGTGTGAGGTGTTGTCTTCATGTCTGTTTGCCTTTTTGTTTGTTTGTCTCCTTCCATGATATTCATTAATCTTCCTGTTTTATTATTATCTTTAATTCATTTGTTGTATGGACCACAAAATATCATTTCCCAGCGTTTACTTTATAAAGTGATGATAAAAAACAGAAACAATGCAAGTGATAGAGAGCAGACATCAGAACCATGGACAGAGTCAGAACAGAAATAAAATGTGAGACACAAATACATATTAGAAATAATCTGAAGAAATGTATTAAAACAGAGATGATTCTTTTTTCAAATGTATTGTAATTTTTTATTGTGATTATTTTTCAAATGATTTGTTTCTGTGGGAGGAAACCGAAGCACTCGGAGTAAACCCACACCACCCAGGACTCCATGTGGGCTCACCATCACTGGTGGGACCTAAAGTCCTTCCTCATATCCAGGTTAGACCCTCTGAGCTAGGAGCCAATGAGAGGCTGATAACAGAGAATAACCTGAACATGAGGTCTGACGTCAGGCCCCAGTAGACCTTTCTCACAGCTGTCATAGCAGGAGCTGAAAGGCTCGCTGCTACACAAAATGAAGGCTGTGAGAAAGGTCTGTAATATAAATATCTTAAAACATAGTTTCCTTATTGGTCTGTTCCTCACATACAAAATGACAGAGTTAGGATAAAGTTCAAACCAGATAAGATGTTTATTGATGTTGACTTTACTGTGAGGGACACTCTCTCATTCCTCCTCAGTCTTCATGCTGTCAGATTTGTGGACTTCAGTCACACCAACGTTACATTACAATAGCTCTCTGCCATAAAGCTCCAGTCTGATTGGGTAATAAAAACATGTTGCTTATGGACTTGTGACTTATCACTTTGTGTCAAAGTACAAAACTTCAGATTTAGAGAACTAAACTGATGATAAACAGTCTGAAGATTTTTCTAAATAATATTTCTGAACTCTTGTGTTTTATAAAAATATGAAGGCATAATGTGACATAGTAATATATTTATGTCTGTATTCATGTTTTGGACTTCACTGTCAGAACCTTTAAAGATCTTGTTGGTTATCGTCATTCTTTCAGTTAAATGACAACATGACTCCTACCCGGGATCAGGCCAAAGCGTGTAATAGACCAACATTCAGCATGATCCCGGGTTGTAGTAAGTTTTATGTAGTGGACTATAAAGGGTGATCATACTGACTCAGAATCCAGACTCTAAAATGGCGGATTCACTACAGTGCACTATGATCCCATATTTAATAATGTCTGTGTGACCGGCTGATTGGTTGAAGGTTAAACACTTCAGGGTACATTTATGATTCATTATTTCAAACTCTGTATTCCTCTCTGCTCAAACGGTTTCTGTCAGATATTTAACAGATTTATCATCATCAGGTAGTATTCATTTACACTTTGTCTTCAGTGAGAACATTTCTCTTTCTCTTCACAGATTCTCCTGATGAACGTCTCCACAGGTCAAACTCTGTCATGTGGTGATATCAGTATGAGATAGGTTGTCCTGGTAAGATCCTGTTAATAATTAACTTTAATTCATCTTTCATTGCAGCCAACACATCTTTACTGGTTACTGAGTTTAGAGGTGTTCTCTCTCAAACACCAACAGTTCAACATTCAGCCTTCATTCCCTCACCTGTTCATGTCTGAGACATTTTACACCTGGTGAACAATCTGCATCTGTCCTGATGATGAAGATGATGATGATGATGATGGTGATCTCTCTCTGACTGCAGGAAGCTGAAAACACTTTTCTCTGGGAGTGTGTTACCTGTCCTGGTTTGGAGTTACATTTCTCTTGGTCCTAAATCTGCCTTGGTTCAAACAGACGAGGAATCTGTGCTGGTCTTCTGTTACAGAGAGAATGAGACCTGGATCAGCTGCAGTGTTTCTGGTAAATGATCTTATTGAATTATCTGAGCACTGATTGAGGTTTTATATTTCTCCTCTTCAACATTTCTATCTGTGTAAATATTTGTTCTGAATGATTCTTCTTCACACAAACAGACAAACTTCAGATGTGAAGATTTGAACTCTTTCCCTCTTCTCTCTTCATGGACTGGATGATGATTTTAGATTTCTCTCTGTATTCATGTACACTTTGTCTTCAGTGAGAACATTTCTCTTTCTCTTCACAGATTCTCCTGATGAACGTCTCCACAGGTCAAACTCTGACATGTCCTCAAAAACAGTATCAGATAAATGATCGATGCTGTCCTATGTGTCCAGCTGGTAAGATCCTCATGAATGTTAAAGAATCTTTAATTAAAGTTTATCAGGTTAGTTTCAATGTCCCTATTTTAAATAAATAAACTGACACTAACTAAAAACATGCAAAAGCTGTTTAATATTTGTATTATTTTCAACATATACACTTAAAGATGATTTACCTTTACAGTTACCTTTAAACATATTCATTATATATTATCGTCCTCTGTTCCACTTACTGTCTTCTTGTTCCTCCTTTTCTCACCCAGACAGATTATTCTTCTTCATTTTCCTTTGGTGACTTTATTGGCAAGTTTAAGATTTCACTGGAACAATGCATTTACAGTTGAAAGCGCTGTCGGGTGGGGCCCCCTGAGGGAGGTTGAGCCTCTGCTGTGTTTTAAAGTTTTTCAGACCTCCAGGGCCCCCTGCTGGTCGTCTGGGGCAACAAGCAGAGTACTGCCTTGTCTCTCTCTCTCGCTCACTCTCTCTCTCCCTCTCACTCTCTCTCTCTCTCTCTCTCTCTCTCTCTCTCTCTCCACTCTGACATAAGTTACTGAAGGAGGAGAAGTTTCATGTTGTTGAAACGTCCATGTGGAAAAAAAGACAACTCTGTCTCTTTAAAAGAAAAAAGAATAAAAAATGTCTTTTTGTTGTTTCAAACAGGAAGTTGTGTTCATGAAGACTGCACAGACTCTGGAAGTACTTTCTGTAAGCACTGCACTGAAGGAACCTTTATGGACCAGCCGACTTCCCGTACACGGTGCTACATCTGTAAAAGCTGTGATGAAGGTAGATCTCTGACATTATTATCAAACTAAATAAAGATCAGAACATGTTACTAAACAGTCATCACTGTAAAACCAGCTTTCTAACCTTCAGTTAGTTTGAGTTTGAGCCTCAAACACAGAGATGATCATCTGACTACTTGTTATTTCCTTACACCAAACTGTTCTTTAGTAGAGCAGAAGTACAGTAGTTCATAAATAACCTCTGTGTTTGTGTCGACAGGTTCTGCTCTGAAGATGAAGACGTCGTGTACGATAAAATCAGACACAGTTTGTGAACCTCTGGAAGGATTTTACTGCTCAGACTCTAGAAAGGACGACTGTGTGGAAGCAAAGAAACACAGACGCTGTGAACCAGGAGAATACATCAGAGAACACGGTTAGTTAAACACATTTCCCTTTTATTGGAAGTCTGTTCTGTCATAATCAGGATTATTTACAGACCACTGACAAAGAAATAATTTCTTCTGTCTTATGAGTCACCATCTGAAGATTTTCTGAACTCTCTGGATCGTAATATTCCAACAAAAACGGTCCTGCTGCATCAGAACGAGTCCCAACCATCCAAATCTAGAGGAAGATTGAATCCAAACACATCACATAAATAAAGATCTACAGATTGATTCAAATTGTCCACCGCTGTTCCAGATTTCCTGCTGTATTTTCTGTGATGATTCATTTTTGTGAATGGTTTTTAAAAATTAGGATACTCAAAACTCTAACCTTTCGATTGGCACCCCATTTGGCAAATTAGGACCTTCCATTCAGTTCCCAGTCTATTACAGCCAATGAGATGAAAGGATTCTGTATTCTGATGAATCTATACCCGACCAATTGCACGCCACTATGCTGACGACTGACGTTTCTTGTAGCCAATGACATTCTGAACACGAGACTTTTTGAATTTGAATTTGAATGTATTTATTTAATAGGGACGATGAAATTTAACATAGTTTGAATACAAAGCAGGAAACTGATGTGCTTCATAGAGAGGTTATAGCTATTGCTAATTTCCAACTCTTGTCTCTAGTTGGGCCTTTGGTTAGCTGAAATGTGTTTGACCAACTGATAAGATAATTACATGACATCATTTTGTATATATGGTGATAGAGGGACTGTGTTCATGTCTAAAACAACCTCTGTGTAATAGTCTCATGTGTTCTGTATTTCCTGCAGGAACTTCCTCCACAGACACCGTGTGCTCCACCTGCTCTGATGGAACATTTTCAGACGGGACGTTTCCCATCTTGTCAGAATCACAAACAGTGAGTGAAGCTTCACATCACACATGGACTCTCCAGATGTTCCTGTAATAACTGTCCCTCTATCATTACAGATGTGAATCAGAGGGTCGAGAGCTGCTGAGAGCAGGAACTGAGACAGAGGACGCTCAGTGTGGAGATATACCATCAGACTGGACTGGACTGATAGTCTGTGTTGTTGTTGGTGTGATGTTTTTAGTCTCTGGACTTGGAATGTGTTATTTCAAACGGAGGAAGATTAGACATCTAATCTCAGGTAAGGTTTCCACTGTGACAATGAAACATGATCATGTTTATTTTATAGATATTATGGTCTGTTTCTTCATTTATTTGATTTTTATTTCTAATGTTTTATTCCAGGAAACAAAAGACATTCAGGACCCTCCTACCAGGTATGTTTTAAACTCTCTTTACTCTCAATCTGTTTTATGTTCAATGATTTAATAAAGTCTCTCTGATTAATGTTTTCCGTACAGGAAGGTGTGAACCTTAAAGCTCAAACCCTGAAGAGTCTGATGTAAGATGACTCCTTAAGGTTCGAAGGTGAGCCAGCAGAGCTTTGATCAAATGTTCTCTGACTGACTGAGATCAACTCTGTCCTGTTTTTACAGATTTACTAAATGTTTGATTTAAACTAAATCTCTTTTCTCCTCAGACGGTGCAGAATCATCTCCAGGATCCTGTTCTGGTCCAGCTGCTGGATCCTGACACACTGTTGATATCTGTTTATATTTATATATGTGTTTATATGTATATATGTGTTTATTTTTATATCTGTTTTTTTATCTGTTCCAATTTTGTTTTTGAGACGATGATTGAACACAAACACTTTCATCAGCGCTCCATCGGCTCTCTCACCATCAAGTTTAAATCTTTTAGAAATTAAAGATTGTCCCTTTTATTTCTTGGGTCGGCTGTGGATCAGTGGTGGTCGGTCGTCTCCCAAGTGAAAGGTTGGGGGTTCAATCCCCAGCTCCTGCAGCAACATGTTGATGTTTCTTTGGACAAAACATTTAACCCCAAATAACTCCCTCTGCTGCATCATCAGGGTGTGAATGTGTATAGATGAGTGTGAGCTGAGATGAGATCAGATGTTTTTGATGATTTTTATGATTTTTTTATTTACTTTTGGGTTTGTAAAAAAGCCTTTGTTGCACTATATGTTGAAATAATTCATGTGATGTCTTTCTGTTAAACTCTTTATTTCTGATTGAACTAAATGTATGACACGAGATGTCAGAGCGCTGAGTGAGGTTACATGTCCGGTAGACTCTTCATGTTTTTGATTCTGTTTTCAGAAAATAAATCAAGTTAATGTTTTAAAATAATATATCAGTCTCATGAAGAGAGGCTTCAGTCTTTGTTGAAGTGGTCGCAGGTTTGAATCCTGATACTGATTTAAAATGACCAAAAGAAAAATCCTCAAAGCGGCGAATAGAAATGTCTGCAGGTCAGCTAGAAATACCAAAGAAGAAGTGAGAATTAAATATATTTAAATTAATAACTGCAGGGACTTCAAGTTTAAATGTTGACTCTTTATGTTCTTGTTACTATTGTAAAAAGGGATGAATAAAAAGATTTGACTGAATCAAAGTGTCTGATTCTTGAACAATAACATCAAACTATTGAATATCTGTGCTCTGCTGACCTCTGGTGGTCAAAAACAGAACTGTTTGAGTTTCTGTTATTTTAACTTCACTCTGAGCTAACAGTTCAAATATTTGTAAGTTAAAGGACAGTAAGAACTCTGAGGTCAAAGGTCAAAGGCTCAGTTCTGTTTCTGAAGTAAAGCTCTGTTTCATACTGAATATATCACCTGGAGGAAGAACTCTGAATACTCTTTTTATTTCACTTGAGCTGATCCATGTTTTACTCTCTGCTCGAGTCATTTCATATTTATCTGATTTTATTCCTTTTTAATAAATCATTGATAATCAATTAGTGAAATTGTACAATAACACTTTAGAGATTAAATATATAAAACAGTAAGACTTAAATTCAATTGAGCAACACAGATTAATAAGGGTTATAGACGGAGAAAATATAAAAAAATAAGTAGAGAGTATTGTTCACTGTGGATCAGGAGCGCCCTCTACTGGACAACCTTCATGATGACACCATATCTAAATGATCCTAATGGTGGTTTCTCCATTAAATATTTTGTAAAAAAGTTTTGTTTTTATATCAGCGCATATATTAAAAAAAATCACCAAGGGTACATTTTCTTACCTATCGAGGTCGGGTCGCTGTGGCAACAGGAGAAGTACGTCAACCCAGACTTCCTCCCCGTCAACATTTTCCAGTTCTTCCTGGAGGATTCTGAGGCGTTCCCAGGACTGAAAGGATATCCCTCCAGTGAACTCTGGGTCTACCCCAGGGGGTTCTCCTGGTCGGGCATGTCCGAAAAAAAACCTCCAAAGGGAGGCGTCCAGGAGACCCAATCAGACGCCCGAAACAACTCAACTGTCTCCTTTAGATGTGAAGGAGTAGCGGCCACTTTTTCAGTCACTACCCATAATGCATCTTTTTACAGTCTATGGCGTGACCACAGAGGGTTGGAATGAAGATTGGTAATGAAGATCTGCCACCCCACAGGCATTGTCCCAGACCTCAACGTGGCATTGAAGAGACATATCAGCCAAGACAGCCCAACAATGTCCAGAACCTTTAGCATCTCAGCGACTCTCATCCACACCTGGTGCCACTGAGGAGCTTTCTCAGTGACCTCTGCTAAGGTTAGTGGTAAAGTTCACCCCAGATCTTCAGACTCTGCCTCCCCTTCAGAGGATGTGTTGGTTGGGTTCAGGAGTTCCTCAAAGTATTCCTTCCACCACCCCACGATGTCCCAAGTCCGGGTCAGCAGTTCTCCATCCCTGCTGATAACAACCCGGGGAAAGCCCTGCTTTCCCTTCCTGAGCCGGAGAACGGTTTGCCAGAACTTCCTTGAGGTGATCCGAAAGTCCTTCTCTGTAGCCCCCTCGCAATCCTCACACACCTGAGGAAGACCCCGGAGAAACAAGAAGAAACAAATTGAGACTCTCAGACAGTTCTGTCTTTGACCACTAGAGGTCAGCAGCAGTACACAGCCATAAAACTGACATTTAAGAATCTGACACTTGGATTTAAAAGTTCATGAAAAGCATGTGATTAAGGTTAGATAGATAGATAGATAAATAGATACTTTATTGTCCCGAGGGAAATTCAAAGCATCCAGTAGCAGGTTACAAGACGTACATGACATGAAACATTTGTTACAAATTAAGCCGCAAAAAAATGCTGCAAAACCGCCCCCCCCCCATATACATATAACCCGATAAAAGATTTAAAGAATACCCCTAGATGAAAACAAACTTAAACTGTGCAATTGAAAATAGATTTATACAAGAAATGTACAGAACCCGTGCAGGGATAAAAATATATGTGTAATTTAAAGCAAGAACCTTTAAACAGTTGAGGGAAAAATCTGTAATTAGACCTGAATATAAAAAAAATAAAAAAGTGTTGACCTTCTGAAGTTGTGTTGTTTATATTCGTACAGCAATGTTTAAAAAAGCAGATAGTGCAGAGTTATCAAAAACAGACATTAAATTAAATAACAGGCAGTGCAAACATTAAATTAAAGGTGCTATTTAAGTAATTGAGGTGATCATTAAAGTGTCCAACTAGAGGCTGACTCTCTTGGGACAGCTGTGCAGATGGGAAATGGAAAAAGGAAGATTTAGTCCAAGTGTGTGTTTTCCCCCTGCCATAACCGTGAGGTGTTGTACAGACGTATGGCCAGGGGGACAAAAGAGTTCTTAAGTCTGTCTGTGGAACAGGATTGTGACAGCAGTCTGCCACTGAACACACTCCTCTGCCTGGTGAAGGTGCTGTGCAGAGGGTGGTGGGTGTTGTCCATGACGGAGAGCATTCTGTTCACTCTCTCTCTCTGCCACTGTCACTAGAGAGTCCAGCTCTGTGACCACCACAGAGCCAGCCTTCCTCACCAGTCTGTTCAGCCGTTCTGCATCCCTCTTCTTGTTGCTTCCTCCCCAGCACACCACAGCATAGAGGAGGACACTGGCCACCACGGACTGGTAAAACATCTGCAGAAGCTTCTTTACAGATGTTGAAGGACCCCAGCCTTCTCAGGAAGTACAGACAGCTCTGTCCCTTCCTGCAGATAGTGTCCATGTTTGATGACCAGTCCAGCCTGTCGTTCAACTGCAGCCCCAGGTACCCGTAGGTCTTGACCACCTCCACGTCGACCCCCCGATGGAAACAGGTTGGGGATGTGGCTTGTTCCTTCGGAAGTCCACCACCATCTCCTTGGTCTTGGAGGTGTTCAGCTGCAGATGGTTTGAACTGCACCACGTCCCCTATCAGGCTCCTGTACTCCTCCTCCTGTCCATCCCTGACACAACCAACTATCACAGTGTCATCCGAGTATTTCTGCATGTGGCAGAGCTCAGAGTTATACTGGAAGTCAGAGGTATACAGGGTGAACAAGACAGGAGAGAGCACGGCCCCCTGTGGTGCTCCGATGCTGCTGACCACAGAGTCAGATGTGCAGTCCTTCAGTCTGACGTACTGTGGTCTCTCTGTGAGGTAGTCCGTGATCCGTCTCACCAGGTGCGAGTCCACCGTCATCTCGGTCAGCTTGTCTCTCAGTAGGAGGGGGTGGATGGTATTAAAGGCGCTAGAGAAATCAAAGAACATGATTCTCATCACGTCGCTCCCTTTGTCCAGATGAGAGTAAGCCCTGTGTAGTAGATAGAGGATGGCATCGTCCACGCCTACCTTCGCCTGGTAAGCAAACTGCAGTGGATCCTGGGCATGGTGGACCTGGGGTTAAAGGGTTACTGGGACTAGAAAAGTCCACCAAAGGACTAAAATACAGTTCAGTTCAGATTAAATACCAAATTTCCGTCTACTTATTACCATAGTGCAATACTAACTTTTGAAAAGCTTCCACCTGAATTGTTTGTTTTGATGTACACTGAGCAACAAGTCATGATGGACAAAGTGTGAGGTGTTGTCTTCATGTCTGTTTGCCTTTTTGTTTGTTTGTCCCCTTCAATGATATTCATTAATCTTCCTGTTTTATTATTATCTTTAATTCATTTGTTGTTTGGACCATAAAATATCATTTCCCAGCGTTTACTTTATAAAGTGATGATAAAAAACAGAAACAATGCAAGTGATAGAGAGCAGACATCAGAACCATGAACAGAGTCAGAACAGACATAAAATGTGAGACACAAATACATATTAGAAATAATCTGAAGAAATGTATTAAAACAGAGATGATTCTTTTTTCAAATGAATTGTAATTTTTTATTGTGATTATTTTTCAAATGATTTGTTTCTGTGGGAGGAAACCGAAGCTCGGAGTAAACCCACACCACCCAGGACTCCATGTGGGCTCACATGTCGTCTATGCTTTCTATTATAACAGAATGAGATCTTTCTATTTTGTTCTGGAGGAAGTGAAAACTATATACTACTTTTCATATAGAGAATTATGTCATCTTACTGAAATTATTTGGGTTTATTACACTCTAAGATTTCATAATGTTTGTATTTTTAATGAAATTTTGTGTATCAAAATAAATATCTTTTTTTTAATTTACTCTCAGCTCCATCCAACCGTCTGCAGAGACTGGCTGCAGGACTCTTTCTTTACACTTTGGAGGATACGACAGATTTGATGTGGCTGGAGGAACTTTCTGAGTCATGTGTTTCATAAATAAACATGTTATAATGTAGACAAGTATAAATTAGTCCACCTGTGTATATTTGAGAACATTGCCTTTTACACGCTGAAGAAGAGCATCTGCTCGAAACGTCCTTGTGTCAATTAAAATAAAAATGTAGTTTGACGTTGAAAAGGAGTTGAGCATGTTTTCTCCATGATTTCTCAGACTGCAGACAGATACTATTGGATGGTTCTACTTTTAATGCTTTATTTTGAAGGGCTGAAAAACGAAAGTTAAAATTTTCAGCGACGCCATTTGGAGCATTAAGGTATGTGTGTCCGTGTTTTTCTTACCATATTTTATTAAGTTAAAGACTAAACAACATTGGAGAACAGTGTAAAAGTGAATCTTTGTTGTTTTAAAGTTAAAACTCTTCTGGTGTGAAATGTTATAAATCCTCTAATGATCACTAAATGAACACAGAGGATCCTGAGACACTCAGACTGTCTGACACTTTAGACTTTATGGAAATACATGAAAATAACCTCAAACTTCAGGGCAGACATAAGGACTACAACAAGAAGACTCATAGGGAGAAAATGTTGAAGTTATTTCTGAACATGAAGTCTTCGTGACTTCCTGACTGTTGTTGACGAGTCTTGTAATCTTCCAGGAAATGGCTCCTCAACAAACATTTCTCTGGTCTCTGTGCACTTCATTATAGTTTGATGATAGATTGGTAAATGACACATTCAAATATAAAGTTTGGACAATGTTGATTGAAACTTTCAGTGCTGGAATGTTTCAAAATGCACTGTGGATTTTTGATAGAGAAATGTGAAAGTTGGAGAAATGTACACATTCAGTGGTATATGTTCATAACTCTATACATAACAAACTGTCCTCAGAGGAAATTTGGTCCCTGTAAAACTGTTGGAAGATAAAATGCTGTGCGAGAAGTTGTGGTGGAGGGCCCGCAACAGTGAAACACTCTCTGGTAGCTTTTTAGCTCCAACAGTCTTCCAGGGACCCATTTTTAAATTTGAATAAAGTTTGTGTATTCAGTTCAGAAAATATTACAAAGAATTGTTTCACCACTCCAACTTTCAACTTTCACTACCAAATCTACATTAACTAATTAACAGAAAATAAATTCCATACATCAAATAAAGAAAACAAAAATCAGGTGAACATAGAAATAGCTCAGGCAAGGCAAGAGACATTAAAAGAGCAAGACTTTAGATATATCCAAATCAAGTCCTTTTGGCCTTTCTATTCTATTTTCCATATATTTTAATGATTTAAAGTAATTGACTAAATAACACAAAGACATAAAAAGAGGGGTTGATGTTTTTTTCATTTACAAGTATAAATTTACCCAAAATTATAACAAGGTTAACAATGTCTGAATATAATAGAGGATATCTTTATCAGAAAATGTAGGAATGTTATCAATCTTTAAAGACAACCAGCTGTGGATATCAGCCCAACATGTTTTACTGTATGAGCAGTCAACAAATAAATGTTCCAAGGTTCCTACCTCTGAGGAGCAAAAAGCACAGGCATCTACTTCAAATGGAGTCTTTTGTGTAAAAATCACAAACTGGGTCGATTGCACATGCAACTTTAAAATGTGTTTCTTTGAGCGTAGGAGTAACTGGACATGACAGATTAAAAGAAAAACACAATTTTCTCAAGGTGTCGTAGAAGTTACCAGAGCTAGTATTGAAGTCTCTTGTTTTTCTGTTTAAAGACTGTTTCAGCGTCTATCAAACAGATCAACTTCACCAACTTTTAAACAAGAAAGGTACACACAGAGAATATGACATGTTACTTCAGATCATTTGTTGTAAATTCTTCAAAGGTAAATAGGTATCCCTCTGTATTCAGTGAATGCCAATTTTTCTAACATCATATTTAAACCATTCCCATTTATTCAATGGGGATAAATAACTTTGTAGTTCGACCTTTTTGATTAAGGAGAGGGTCCTTTTGCAAAATGAGTTGCTTTTTAATACACTATTGTTACACTTCCAGATTAACGGCCTTGATTTTAGTATGTTGTTATTGTATTCACTACATAGAGTCATTACACAGTGGTCAGTAAGAGAAGGACAGATATCACAGTCTGAGGACATATCGACTAGATTGCTCGTTATTAGCCAAAAGTCTATCCTAGAACACTGAGTTCGTCTGCTATTATTACTCCAAGTGTATTGTCTCTATCTGGGTTATTATAATTATATTATATCGTATCTTGACTCCAGTATCCTGATAATATCGTATTCATGGTTTGGACTTCACACTGTTTTTACTCTGTGAAATATTAAACAGATTTATCATCATCAGGTAGTATTCATGTACACTTAGTCTTCAGTGAGAACATTTCTCTTTCTCTTCACAGATTCTCCTGCTGAACGTCTCCACAGGTCAAACTCTGACATGTGGTCCATACGAGTATGAGACACCTGGTGGATGCTGTCCTGTGTGTCCACCTGGTAAGATCCAGTTCATAATTAACTTTATTTAATTTCCATTCATGTCTGAGACATTTTACACCTGGTAACAATCTGCATCTGTCCTGATGATGAAGAAGAAGATGATGATGATGGTGATCTCTCTGACTGCAGGAAGATGAAAACACTTTTCTCTGGGAGTGTGTTACCTGTCCTGGTTTGGAGTTACATTTCTCTTGGTCCTAAATCTGCGTTGGTTCAAACAGACGAGGAATCTGTGCTGGTCTTCTGTTACAGAGAGAATGAGACCTGGATCAGCTGCAGTGTTTCTGGTAAATGATCTTATTGAATTATCTGAGCACTGATTGAGGTTTTATATTTCTATTCTTCAACATTTCTATCTGTGTAAATATTTGTTCTGAATGATTCTTCTTCACACAAACAGACAAACTTCAGATGTGAAGATTTGAACTCTTTCCCTCTTCCCTCTTCATGGACTGGATGATGATTTTAGATTTCTCTCTGTATTCATGTACACTTTGTCTTCAGTGAGAACATTTCTCTTTCTCTTCACAGATTCTCCTGCTGAACGTCTCCACAGGTCAAACTCTGACATGTGGTCCATACAGTTATGAGACACCTGGTGGATGCTGTCCTGTGTGTCCACCTGGTAAGATCCTCATGAATGTTAAAGAATCTTTAATTAAAGTTTATCAGGTTAGTTTCAATGTCCCTATTTTAAATAAATAAACTGACACTAACTAAAAACATGCAAAAGCTGTTTAATATTTGTATTATTTTCAACATATACATTTAAAGATGATTTACCTTTACAGTTACCTTTAAACATATTCTTCTTCATTTTCCTTTGGTGACTTTATTGGCAAGTTTAAGATTTCACAGGAACAATGCATTTACAGTTGAAAGCGCAACAAGATTGAGTTCTGTCGGGTTGGGCCCCTTAAGGGAGGTTTCCTACTGTCATTGCAAAATTTTCACATTTTAAACCTCTGCTGTGTTTTGAAGTTTTTCAGACCTCCACGGCCCCCTGCTGGTCGTCTGGGGCAACAACAGAGTACTGCCTTGTCTCTCACTCACTCTCTCCCCTTTTCTCACTCTCTCCCTCCCTCTCACTCTCTCTCTCACTCTCTCTCTCCCTCTCCCTCTCACTCTCTCTCTCACTCTCGCTCTCTTCCTCTCACTCTCTCTCACTATCTCTCTCTCACTATCTCTCTCACTCTCTCTCTCTTTCTCACTCTCTCTATCACTCTCTCACTCTCTCTCCCTCTCCCTCTCTCTCTCTCACTCTCTCTCTCTCACTCTCTCTCTCCCTCTCTCCCTCTCCCTCTCACTCTCTCTATCTCTCTCTCTTCCTCTCACTCTCTGTCACTATCTCTCTCACTCTCTCTCTCTCTATCACTCTCTCACTCTCTCTCCCTCTCTCTCTCTCTCACTCTCTCTCTCTCACTCTCTCTCCCTCTCTCCCTCTCTCCCTCTCTCCTCCCTCTCACTCTCACTATCTCTCTCTCTTCCTCTCACTCTCTGTCACTATCTCTCTCACTCTCTCTCTCTCTCACTCTCTCTATCACTCTCTCACTCTCTCACTCTCTCTCTCTCACTCTCTCTCACTCTCTCTCTCCCTCTCGCCCTCTCCCTCTCACTCTCTCTCACTCTCGTTCTCTTCCTCTCACTCTCTGTCACTATCTCTCTCTCTATCTCTCTCTCACTCTCTCTCACTCTCTCTCTCCCTCTCTCTCTCTCACTCTCTCTCTCTCACTCTCTCTCTCTCTCTCTCTCTCTCTCGCTACACTCTGACATAAGTTACTGAAGGAGGAGAAGTTTCATGTTGTTGAAGCGTCCATGTGAAAAAAAAAGACAACTCTGTCTCTTTAAAAGAAAAAAGAATAAAAAATGTCTTCTTGTTGTTTCAAACAGGAGGTTGGGTTTATGAAGACTGCACAGACCTCAGAAGTACTTTCTGTAAGCCCTGCACTGATGGAACCTTCATGGACCATCCGACTTCCCGTAGACAGTGCTACGACTGTAAAAGCTGTGATGAAGGTAGATCTCTGACATTATTATCAAACTAAATAAAGATCAGAACATGTTACTAAACAGTCATCACTGTAAAACCAGCTTTCTAACCTTCAGTTAGTTTGAGTTTGAGCCTCAAACACAGAGATGATCACCTGAGTACTTGTTATTTCCTTACACCAAACTGTTCTTTAGTAGAGCAGAAGTACAGTAGTTCATAAATAACCTCTGTGTTTGTGTCGACAGGTTCTGCTCTGAAGATGAAGACGTCGTGTACGATAAAATCAGACACAGTTTGTGAACCTCTGGAAGGATTTTACTGCTCAGACTCGAGAAAGGACGACTGTGTGGAAGCAAAGAAACACAGACGCTGTGAACCAGGAGAATACATCAGAGAACTCGGTTAGTTAAACACATTTCACTTTTATTGGAAGTCTGTTCTGTCATAATCAGGATTATTTACAGACCACTGACAAAGAAATCATTTCTTCTGTCTTATGAGTCACCATCTGAAGATTTTCTGAACTCTCTGGATCGTAATATTCCAACAAAAACGGTCCTGCTGCATCAGAACGAGTCCCAACCATCCAAATCTAGAGAAAGATTGAATCCAAACACATCACATAAATAAAGATCTACAGATTGATTCAAATTGTCCACCGCTGTTCCAGATTTCCTGCTGTATTTTCTGTGATCATTCATTTTTGTGAATGATTTTTTAAAATTAGGATACTCAAAACTCTAACCTTTCGATTGGCACCCCATTTGGCAAATTAGGACCTTCCATTCAGTTCCCAGTCTATTACAGCCAATGAGATGAAAGGATTCTGATGAATCTATACCCGGCCAATTGCACGCCACTATGCTGACGACTGACGTTTCTTGTAGCCAATGACATTCTGAACACGAGGCTTTTTAAATTTGAATTTGAATTTATTTATTTAATAGGGACGATGAAATTTAACATAGTTTGAATACAGAGCAGGAAACTGATGTGCTGCACAGAGAGCTTATAGCGATTGCTAATTTACAACTCTTGTCTCTGTTGGGCCTTTGGTTAGCTGAAATGTGTTTGACCAACTGATAAGATAATTACATGACATCATTTTGTATATATGGTGATAGAGGGACTGTGTTCATGTCTAAAACAACGTCTGTGTAATAGTCTCATGTGTTCTGTATTTCCTGCAGGAACTTCCTCCACAGACACCGTGTGCTCCACCTGCTCTGATGGAACATTTTCAAACGGGACGTTTACATCTTGTCAGAAACACAAACAGTGAGTGAAGCTTCACATCACACATGGACTCTCCAGATGTTCCTGTAATAACTGTCCCTCTATCATTACAGATGTGAATCAGAGGGTCGAGAGCTGCTGAGAGCAGGAACTGAGACAAGGACGCTCAGTGTGGAGGACTACTGCCACACTGGACTGGACTGATAGTCGCTGTTGTGATGTTTTTAGTCTTTGTACTCGGAGTGTGTTATTTCAAACGGAGGAAGATTAGACATCTAATCTTAGGTAAGGTTTCCACTGTGACAATGAAACATGATCATGTTTATTTTATAGATATTATGGTCTGTTTCTTCATTTATTTGATTTTTATTTCTAATGTTTTATTCCAGGAACCATAAAAGAAACACTCTCTCACCAGGTATGTTTTAAACTCTCTTTACTCTCAATCTGTTTTATGTTCAATGATTTAATAAAGTCTGTCTTATTAATGTTTCCCGTACAGGAAGGTGTGAACCTTAGATAACAAACCCTGAAGAGTCTGATGTCAGATGACTCCAAAGAGTCGAAGGTGAGCCAGCAGAGCTTTGATCAAATGTTCTCTGACTGACTGAGATCAACTCTGTCCTGTTTTTACAGATTTACTAAATGTTTGATTTAAACTAAATCTCTTTTCTCCTCAGGGTGAGACGGTTCAGACTGAACTCCTGCAGAGTGAATCATCTCCAGGATCCTGTTCTGGTCCACCTGCTGGATCCTGACACACTGTTGAGATCTGTTTATATTTATATATGTGTTTATATTTATATCTGTTTTTTTATCTGTTCCAGTTTTGTTTTTGAGACGATGATTGAACACAAACACTTTCATCAGCGCTCCATCGGCTCTCTCGCCATCAAGTTTAAATCTTTTAGAAATTAAAGATTGTCCCTTTCATTTCTTGGGTCGGCTGTGGATCAGTGGTGGTCGGTCGTCTCCCAAGTGAAAGGTCGGGGGTTCAATCCCCAGCTCCTGCAGCAACATGTTGATGTTTCTTTGGACAAAACACTTAACCCCAAATAACTCCCTCTGCTGCATCATCAGGGTGTGAATGTGTATAGATGAGTGTGAGCTGAGATGAGATCAGATGTTGTTTTATGATTTTTTTTTTTTTTTTTGTTCCTTGTACAGTTGTTCACTTTATACATCCAGTTATGTAAAAAAAGCTTTAATTGTACAGAATGTTAAAATAATTCATGTGATGTCTTTCTGTTAAACTCTTTATTTCTGATTAAACTAAATGTATGACACGAGATGTCAGAGCGCTGTGTGAGGTTACATGTCCCGTAGACTCTTTATGTTTTTGATTCTGTTTTCAGAAAATAAATCAAGTTAATGTTTTTAAATATATTTTTATATCCTTTAGGCCAGGGGTGGGCAACTGGCAGCCCGGGGGCCACATGCGGCCCTCGTCAACCCTCAATGTGGCCCTCAGGTCAATTTTTATATATCAAACATGAAGAAAACATGACAAAATCTGCCATGAACTATTTCCATCATAATATTTGATCACTGGTATATGTTGAGTTAAATTTGAGACATAATTGACTGTTATCGTTTTTTGTATACTACAATTTGGCCCCCTGGCAGTCAGAATTAAATGAATGTGGCCCTTGCTGTGACCAAAGTTGCCCATCGCTGCTTTAGGTCAACTTGTTTTGGTCTCAGGAGGAGAGGCTTCAGTCTTTGTTGAAGTGGTCGCAGGTTTGAATCCAGGGCCCCAGTCCTCGTATGTGGTTCAAATAATCAGAGCTGATGTCCTTTTAGCCTGATTTGATGAACGTTATGGTTAAAGGTTGACTAAAGCCTGACTCACTGCGATTTTCCCCGATTGTGTAAAAGTCGGCTCACACTGTAAGACTGAATAGTTTACGACGCCCGACCAGACCTTGAGATTGACGTACTCACACTGAACGAGTGAAATCGAGACGGTGCGTTGAAAGTTGTTAATAAAGTTTCATTTGAAAAAAACAAAGAACGAAGCATATCCACAATTACGAAGGTAAGATCATTAATGTGAATGTTAGCATGTTTGTGTACTGGCATAATGTGTAGTAAGTGCTAACACTGTGTTTCTATTTGTTTCTTTCTATCACTGTCACAATTTTCAATGTCAGTACGAAAGAAGGATTCCAGCGGAGAGATTAGCGTTAGAGCTGAGTGCTTCAGATCAATGAGGACAAAACAAAAGCCTCACAGTCTGAGTGTAAGGGAAAGTTATGCAGCAGGTTCATGACAGATTTCTGTTCATCAAATCAAGTTTCTGTGAGTCATATAGGTGCCACGAGTACTGCTAAAAGCTACTTAAAATATATACATAATTTGATAAACAATTCATAACATTACTGTGTGAAAATAGGCAATGGGATTCACAGAAACTAGATACTAACAGTCTGTGTTTTACCACTTTTCAATATTATGTGCGTCTCATATTCATTAGTAAAGAGAGACTGAGATCAGATATTGTTTGGCTAAATGTATTTAGTTATTATCTTCCTTTTTCTATAATTGTTCCTTCTATAACACATTTTCATTAAGTATTTAAAGTTAAACTGCACTTGCAGCAAGTACAGTATGTATTGTACAACATTGTAACAAATTTGTGTATTTTCCCAGATTGCACTAAGGGATACCCGTCCTGTGCAGCTACAAAGCTGCCAGTGTACCTGTGTGGCTGGTGCAGCCTTGTGCAACCATGTGGCAGCACTATTATACCAGACTGCACACTATTCTCAGCTCAACATCACCACTGTCCCCCCAGTGCACAGCTGCACAGAGACAGAACAGCAGTGGCATAAACCAAGAACCATGGTATGCTAACTTTATGACATACTGTGAGGTTATGTAAAGTTCTTTGTCCTTGTTTTTGGAAAAAACGTTTTTTTTGTCTAACTGCAGGGTGTTAAACCTGGTCCTGTAAATGAAATGGTCATCCTTTCAGCCAGACCCAAGGAAAGAAGACTTACACAGGGAGTCAGGTTATTATTATTTATATATTTTTTGTCATGATTGTTTCTGTAATTATTATCATTTGTGAAAACATTTGAGTTAAAAATCATACACAGACACAAGATCAAAACATGCACATTACCAACATATACATAGACATGAGGTAGCAGTTAAGAAAAAAAGGTGTAGCTCTTGTCCAACACAGAGTTCACATTATTTTACCAGAAGTGTGGTGTGCCTTTAAGCAGTGTTCGGTATAGTTAGGGTAAAGACTTTTTTAAATAAATGAATACATAGGTAGATAGAAAATAAATGAATAAGCAAATAATTATTTGTCTTTTCCATAGGAGCAACTTATATAAAGGAGTCAGGGCGCGGTCACACTGGCCATCCGTACCGTGCTCAAGCACGCTTCAACCCTAAAGTCCAGTTCATTTGACCAGTGTGACTGCTCTGTATCGTACTCGGGCACGGTACACTTCCTTGGCTTTGGCACACTTCAGAGAGGTGTGCTTCAGCACGGTACACTTCATGCACGAGCACAAGCACGCGGGTAAACAACACTGACAGCCTTCATTCTGGAGAAATCCAGAGTTTGTATCTGACTAACATGACACAATATAAGACACAAAGTAGCTGTCATGTTCTCTGTGTTGTTCTCCGATGTGCGGCCGCGGACTCGACTGCGTCTCTCTCTCTCTCTCCGCCTGTTTGTAAACTGAGCATGCTTCATATTAACATAAAGCGTGCATGTGTTGTATTATGACATTATGTACAAGAGGTAATCGTGCTTTAGGCCCTTCATCAGTACATGCTGGGACCATGTACATGTTCTTTTGTCTGCACTGAACATCAGCAGCTCCACATGATGTCATTGGAAACATCCTTAGAAACAACACATAAAATTGAATCTAGTACAAAAGAGCAGAGCTCCTGCATTGAGTGGCACCAATTAAGAAGATACAGAGTCACATCCTCCAAATTTAGAGAGCTCTGTCACACCAGAAGTCACAGCTCTGCTGTAAATCTTGTTAAAAGGCTACTGAGACCCAGCCATCAGACTGCAGACAAGAGGAGGGGGCTTGAAATGGAGCCTGCAGCTGTAGAGGAGTACTGCAGAGCAAGGGATGTGAACCACTACCCTTGTGGGTTCCTCATCCACCCCGACGCACCATGGATGGGATCATCACCTGATGGTATTGTCTATGACCCACAGGGACAACCAGTCTTTGCCTCCTAGAAATTAAATACCCAAATGTAGTGATCTATGTGGACTGCCCTTATATAAAGATCAGTGAGGGCACA